CCCCGCGCCCTGTGTGAGCGGAGGGGCCGGAGCGGGGACCCCGCGGGCTGCGAGCGAGCGGCGGAGCGCGGTCAATGTTCAAGGCGGCGGTCACATGCCCAGCAGCGAGTTCTTCAGGAGTGTTTCCAGAGGCTGTCTGGCTGTCCGTCTGGAACAGGAAATGCCGGTACAGGTAGTGTTGGAGCTGTTTGAAATTTAATCAGTTTTTGCAGCGTTTTGGAGGCAGGGTTGTTTGCTGTGTGTTCTCGTGCAGATGGAGTTTCGGAGGCGTGTGGGTAGATGTATGCAAATGTACGCAAATCACCTGCTTAGCATCTGCTCTAAGTTTACCTATATCCCTTCCTTTGATTTCCAATGCAAATATTTTAAAATCGGCTTTTCAGAGGAACTGTGACTTGTTCCCTCGACGTGCGTTTTTCCCTTCCCAGAACAAGTGCGAGTTTTACGTATCTTTACTTAGTGCTTTATTTTGCTCATGCAGCCCCCTATCCAAAACGCCAAACCACTTAAGCTTTCTTAACTTTGAAGCTACTAGGATTGTTTTAAGAACAACAGCTTAATCGTGCAAACAGCATCGTGCCTGATTGATGATGCAGTATCCCCTTCCACCCCAAGGCAATGGAAAATCCCTTGACGATTTTATGATTACCTGCTCTTTTCTTATAGAATGAAAGGGTGCTTTTTTTTGTGTCAAAAAAGTGAGACCTCACGTTATAATATGACTATAAATTAGTCTTGTCAAAGGGTAAATAATCCTTTCTTCCCCTAACAAATTGTTGCAAAGTAAGAGATACTGGTTATTTTTCTTAAGTATCAAGTTACTTGCATAAAAAATTATTATTCTTGACCAGTGAGATGTTGACAGTAAAAACACAAAAAATAGGCACTTGACTTTCATATCAAGCTTTGATAGTGCAGAATCTTTTTTTGGCCATACAGTATGAACGCTGTGCTACTGACAAAATTATTTGGATGTGCGACCCTGGAGGGTGTCAGGGTATTGGCACTCTCCTTGGTTATTCCTTCGTTTATGCTTCTTGAGAGGGTAAAACGGTTTAGTCATTGAGGGATGTAGTGGTGGAAGCAAAACCCATTCACAGAACTCTTCACAAACTTCATGGTTTGGGAAGAAACGAGTTGGAGTTTGGGCCGGGTTAAGTGATGATGGGTTGAGGTAGGAACAGGATTTTAGATGGATAGACTGAGTGAAATGTTTGTTGGAAGGTTTGTACAGGATATGTTAATGTAGAAATATGAGGTATAGTGATTCAGACATCCAAACTCGTTGTTTTTTTTTTTTGTCAAGCCTATAAAATACATGTGGGTTTAAAGATGATGCTCTCATTACCATTCCTTGTAACTCAGTTTAGTAATTTTTTTTTTCCTGGTAACTTAAGAAAGCATCTTTTTGAGGAAGAGCAGAACTCGGTATTTTGTATACCTGTTAATGATCAAACATCTTCACAGATCAAACAACTGAAAGGCCGGGGCAATTAATCTGAGATAAAAAGGCAAGTGTGAGTATGGCTGTAAAGATACATTCTATCTTTCTTAGGCTCGGGGAAAGAGTACATTGTAGTCTTTGAATAATCGCATGAAAAGCAGTAGGACGACTGAGAAACGAAAATCTTCTCCGTAGTGTCTATGTGATGATTCACTGTAAATGCTGGCCCATGTCATGGGCTGGGAATTTGTGTTCTCCAAGATCTTTACTCACAGTTCCCATTGTAGCTATTTCTAAAGTCGGTTTCTCCTTGCAACAGATGAGGGAGGCTGAGCTGTGAACCTGTTGTTTTGGTTTTGATGCAAACAGGAAAGTTTTTATTGGAACAGCTTAAAGCAAAAAATTGTACAGTTATACAAAAGCCATCTGGGATAGCATCTACACTTCTGGTTCTCCATCCTGGAAGGGTGCAGAAACGTGTGACTGCAGGAGCAGTGGTTTGGCATAGGAGGGACAGCTAAATAGGCAAGGGCTCGAGAAGACACAATAGAGATCTTGAAAAAAGAAAAAGTCTGGGTTGAAAATCTACAGGGATTGTTTGGAAGAATTTCTAGAGGAGATATCATCAAATACCCCTTCAGTGTCTTGGGGACTTGTTGAGTCAGTGACAAGGAGAAAGAATGTGTCAGACCAATTCCAGTCAGTGGTAATATCCTGGCACTGGCCTTTTCTTGTAGCATTGTTCTGTTTCTTCTTATATCTGTTGCAAGTCAGCTATTAATCAAGTTTTTCTCCCTCTCTGATGTTTAAAATAGTGAGAATTTGCATTCCTGTAAGCATATTTCTGTGGCAACTTCTGAAGTGAATAATATAATTTCCAAAGACAAAGACTGGTGGCTACTAAAAGCATTACATGTATCTTATGGTGCATGAGATGGGTGGACAAATATATTTAACAGGGGGGCTACAGGTCAAAGGGGACAGGATCTGTGCAGGTGCCAAAAAAATTATGATTCAGCCTCATTGAGGTGGGTGTAAGAGATTATTCCTTTCAAAGTTTGGACTTTTTCTACATTTTAAAAGCAGCTTCACTGTTTATTTCTTTTTTTAAAATGTAGGAAAAAATCCTTACAACCTGCAGTACTGTCACAATGCAAATCATATTTTCGTTCTGTTCACAAAATTTGGCAATTTTAAATGTCAACCTTTTGATCTGAGAAAAACACTTGAATTCTTGCATTTGCAAGTTGTTGAATTTTTGATGGATTTCATTCTGTTAAGGAGGAGACAGTAACCCCAGTCCTAATAATATTAGCTCATTGCAGAGAATTTTAGTGGCTTCCCATGATAACTTTATTCCCTCATAATATATTTCATCACTCTTCCTTCACAATTTTTGTTGTCTTGTGTTTAAATTCCTAAGTTACATCAGATAGAAATTGATTTCCCAGAGCTGTCAGACTGTTGGGTGGGGTTGCCAGGCTCAGCTCAGAGGCATGAACTGCAAGCAGAAGCAAAATGCTGTGTGGCTTAAAAGTAACCCCAGCACAGGGCATGAGAAAAGGTTTGCCATTAGTAATTTGTGCAACACCCTGAGAACAGTCGCAAAGTGAAGGCGAGAAGATGTAAGTAACTATTCTTCAGCCAAATTTCAGGGATAGAAACGGTCAACAACTTTTGAACTTGTTGGCAGGTTTCCACTCAATTTGACAGAAGGGATAGAAGACTCAAAGATGATTATGTACTTAGAAAGTGCATGAAAAGAGGCAGCTGGCTGGAAGAGAGAGACCTTGTAAGATGATGTGAGGAGCAGAATTGGCTTATGCCCCAGCTAGGGAGAAAACTGGGAGAACTTGGCCATGAGGCAGAAAATTATCAGGAGCCCTGATAATACCAGGCATTGGTAGTTCCAGTGTTAACACAGCCAACTGTTTATCTCTTCACTTTTATCTCGATGGATATCAGAGATGCTTAAACCCAAATGTGCTTGTAGAAAGTGATTGTTTAGGCAAAATATCAGCTGCACTGATTTCTAAGCTTCTTTAGTGACACTGCTTCTTAAACTAAAGAGTCTGTGCCAGCCACAGCTACGTGCTGGGGTGTACCAACCAAGCAAGGTGATAACGTGAGGTTCTGCTGACAAGTGGATTTGTTGTTCTGGAAGCTGTGAAGGCAAGTGCCAGGAATTTTTGACAGGAATGTGTTTTGTCCTGTGAGGCTGCACAGCTAAGGGTAGCCAGGTGCTTGATGAGATCACCTGTGACTGAAAAACAGTGACTGAAACTGGACAAGGTCAAAGGAGTTAGGCTGGTAAATAGACGTTGGTTTGAGAGCTTATAGCCCTTGTTTAGTGTCTTTGGTTGAGAACAGTTGTCCACAATCAATTCATGTAGTTTGAAGGGCAAGAGTATTCCCTAATTCTCAGCTGCTAAAAATCTGTAGCATGTCAGTAACACTGTGTGAAATAACTCTTTTCCTGAAATATTGCCCTTACTGAAGACTCACTATGGTTCAATCACAGAGTGGTTTGGGTTGGAAGGGACCTTAAAAACCTTAAAAACCCCCTGCCATGGGCAGGGACACCTTTCAGTAGATCAGGTTGCTCAGAGCCTGATCCAACTTGCCTTTGAGCACTGCCAGGGATGGGGCATCCATGACTGACTGACGGTCTATATTCTGTCACTCACACCTTTGGCAAGCCAAGAGCTTAAAAAGTTCTGGTAAACCCCAGAGGTTAATAATGCTACAGTGCCCCCAGCAACACTGGCTTACCACAGACAAGGAAGAAGTCTTCAGGTCCTAATTATAGTGCTATTGACTGCTGAATTTAGGTTATGGGAGTCTGGTCCAAGTCGCAGTCACCTAAAAGTTCACTCAGACTCGTGATAGGTGAAGCAACCAAAACTGCTTAGCAGCATCACTTCTCTCATTTATGGAGCCATCTGTGATGGGGGTAGGCTTGTCAGCAGATGAATAATATTCTTGTTGGTTTTTTGGTTCTTTTTCAAATCAAAACTGACATATTTGTCCAGTGCAAATTTCAGAACAAGATGCCACTATAGGCTTTTTCATCTTATGGAGAGTCTGATGACAAATTAATGCCATTGCTTCTGGCACCATTGGAAGGCTAATCTACCGTGCCTCTCTTCCTTATGAATGAGGAGCCACGTACCTTAGTATTCGAGGCAGTGGAGAAAAAATTTGCAGTGGAACTTCTACATATGAAAACTGCAATTAATGTGTTCTGCAATTTATTAGAATATGATTGTGTGATAGACAGAATTTTGTATTCGCAGCTTTGTGGATGTGGAATTCAGCAGGAAGCATTTTAATGCAATGGGACAGTAACACAGAGCTAATCCATTTAATTTTTCATTAAATTCTTGCAGTGAATCATTATAACTTTAACTAAGAGCCAGCCCAACAGCTCAGTCCTTGGTGCGTGCAGTGTTAGTTGCAGGGCATTCCTGAAATGCAAGAGAAAATTACTTCCTGTAAGGTCTTAGTAAATGAATGCTCTTCGTCATTATCCTAAATTGTTCCAGAAAACTCTTGTTTCCAAAACAGTGTGTGTATTTCTGAGAAGATCTGAAGCTGATACACATTTCCAGCTACATTTTCTTTTCCTATCTTCTTTCTGAGTTAACTGAAGTGAACATAAAGAAAACAAAATTGTTACATGATGTTCTGTCAAGGTCAGTTTCCAGCTTGATTTCAGACTCCTCGCTCAGCGCTGCCACAAATCACACTTACTATCTCCAGTATTATTAAATCAAATTACTTACGGGTGAGATACAGTAACATCAGTAAACAAACAGAACTCATCCGATTATTCATGGGGCAAAAGAGATTTTTGGTTAGGTTCCATTTATTGATTTTATTTTTAAATACAAGCAAGTACCAATGTTTCTCTTAAACAGAGGGGAATAGTTTTAGGGTTGCAAGACATCCTGCGGGTATTTTTGAAAGCCACATATCCCAGCTGTACATTATTAGAGAGCTGTAGAATGGTTTTGTGTGAATGTGGTGTTGCTTGTTCTGAGCTGAGCTAAGTTCTCCTACAGTTTATACAGTATTCCAACTACACATTTCATTTTTGTTTTTTAATGCTCCTCATTAATTTTGGTAAGTTTACACAGTGGAAAAAACTGTAGTGAGAAGCTGCAGGTTTTAAAATGTCACCCTTTTGATTTTTTTTTCCTTCTTTCTTTCCCACATATGCAGTCCCAGTTGTATTGGTTTATTTAAATTTATTCTGTTCTGAGCTGTTCCTTCAAATGTTTGTGTGGGTGATGTATTAATGCCAAACCGACAGAATAATCCATTGTTGTGAGAGGATCACAGCTTGGGCTTTACATGTGGTTGTGGGGTTGTTCTGAAAATGGACTCATTTAACCTTCAACATGCTCCTTCAAGAATTGGAGAAGCAACCAATTTTTGCTGGAATTTGAATATCTTGGAATGGGTTACTGAGGCAGCAACCAGAATGGTCTTGCATTGCTGTTAGCACTGTTGTTCTGGTTGCTTTGAGAATGTAGCCAGGTTAATGACACATTTATGTAGTGTTTAGTAGGCAGTACAAACTTTTGAAAGCTGAGTACTAGCTGACAATCCATCCATAAAATTGAAATCAAAACCAGCTTAGTTTTTTGAGTGTTGAATAATAAGATTTATTTCTTGGTGATGTTTTTGTTAGCTTGAAGATTCAAAGATTGACTAACTCATGTATTATCTTTTTATAAGCTGTTGCTGGTTATTAGGAGAACTTTTACAGCAATTTTTTTGATCTTCAGAGATGTGAAAGAAATTAGAAGATAATAAATTATGCTAGATAAAATAACTTCATTTTTATGCCTTAAAAACAATTTTAAGGTGGTGATTTCTTCTCCTCTTTCCTGGCTATTTCATCTTGCCTTTCTGTTTAGAGGTTATTTTAGCCATGATCTCTTTCCTAATTTAGAAGCTCTTTAACATTTTTTTTGTTTGTTTTTTTGTTTGTTTGTTTGTTTTTTTTAATAATTTCTGGTTTTTTCTTATTTCAGGTTCATTGGAAAGAGCATGAAATAAACATGGAGTCTTCTAAACTAGAATATATTTCAGGGTTTACAGTTAGAAGTAAAAAGAAGATGGAAGAAAATGAGAGAACTGGAGTATAACACCTGACAAGAACTTTCCAGTTCTGTGATATAGACATATAAACTTTCAATATAAACCAACTAATGATTTATGGTAATACTTTATTGATATCCCTGGAAGAAGTCAGTTACTGTTCAACTTGCTTAACAAGAACTTTTATTCTAATGACTTTTAACATGTTTTAATCTTAACTGGACACCTTTATTTATTTATGTTTTGAAGCCTGAGGGTTAAAAGTGAACATCGTGATTATAAACTCTAAAAAATAATGGCATGGGTGAAATTCCTAAGAAAACCTGGGGGTAACCTTGGAAAAGTTTATCAGCCTGGAAGTATCCTGTCCCTGGCCCCTACTAAAGGCTTATTAAATGAACCTGGACAAAACAGCTGCTTTCTTAATAGTGCTGTTCAGGTAAGAAAAAACTTCATCTATTGAACATTTTTTGAATAGACTTTCCCAAGTGTGTGTGTGGGAAACAAAAATGGCAATTGTAGGACTAAGACACTGTATGAAGCTGATTTTATTCAGCATTTAACTGTGAAGAATTGAGAGTATTAATACTTTATTTTGCACAAAATTTTATTTGCATATGTCAAGAATGTCTGAAAACCTTTTCTTTTGTATCTGAAAACATAGGAGTTAAAACTTTAAAACTTTCTGCTTGAATTTTAAAACTAATGTTCATGTCAAACGTAGCAAAATCTACTTCCAAAATTTACACAGCACTTTTTTATATGGGGCAACCATTACTACTTGTATTGACTAGGATATTATTTTTATTATAATCTCATTTTCTCAGAATTAGCAAACGAGCCAGTGATACTGGGGAATATCAGAATATGCACATATAATGAGAGCTTTGATTCTAATCTTAGGAAAGATTTGGGGAATTAGAGTAGGAGATACACTTGGTAGCAAAGAAATATGACTTGGAGTTCTCTTTATAACAAGGTACTTCTTGTAATGCTCAGATTTTGGATCTGAATTTAATTTAATTTTTAAATTGTACAGAATTATTTGTCAAACTGGAAGTGGGTTTAATAGATGCATAGAGTGTCTGAAAGTTGGAAGACTTAAAACTGGCGTGGATTTAAACCTAGGAGATATGAGAGGTATAGCTATGTGTATGGTATTTATATGTGTTTAAAATAAAATTATACTGTAGTTTCAGTAGAGCATTTGCTGTTTTGTATCCAATGGGAGCAGCATGACCTATATTCTCTTGCAATTCTACTCTTTTCACTTAGATGCCCTAAAATGAGTATTTTTTAGTTCTAGTTTCAGACAATCCTACAACTTCACAACCCAGTGCTGTTCATCAAACAGTGGCAGATGGTTGGTGACTGCCCTTTTACAAGGAGGAATGTGTTCCTTTCTTTTCTTTTAACCTCTGCTCACACTTCAGACCTGAACTTTGGACTTGCAGTCTCCAGTGCATCCTATTTCATTTTAGCTTTTACATTTATAGATAGGATATATTTTTCTCCCTGGATTTCCAGCTGTTGTCTTACTGTGCCTCTGGACAACTCATTTTTTAGGGGTTTTATTTTTATTTTTTTTAATGGACAACTTTCTGAACTGCTTCACTTCATGTGTACCCAAGACATTAGATATTGAGCTCTGTGGTGTATCCAAGCTATTACCTTTTTGTAGGGTATTTACACAAATAAGAGGTAGAAAGATACCTGTGTAAGCACCAGGATTATTTTGATCTGTGGAAAAACAAATGTATTGCCGCAATCATTTTGATAAGAGACCATAAGGATATAATATAGAACTTAACTCTTACGTAGAGCTTTAAGAAAACTGCTACAATCTATGCACAGAGTTTAGATTGCTGCTTGTTTTCTCCAGAGTACTTCAGATCTTTCTCCAAAATACATTGTTTCAAAAAATTTCAAAGACAGATCTAAATTTTAAGTCCTGAATGTGAAACTTTAATTTCTATTTCTGTAATTTACCAAACTTAATGGAAAAACCCCCACATTTCCTACAGCAATATTGGTACTTGAGTTGTATGTTATGTGAAATAAAAGAAATAAATAAAATCTTATGTAAATTGTGTTAAACTAAGAGCCTTCAGAACAGATTACTTATTTTCTCTTTACTTTTACAGGTATTATGGCAACTTGACATATTTAGACGAAGTTTAAGAGGTTTAACTGGACACGTGTGTCAAGGAGATGCCTGCATATTTTGTGCTTTAAAGGTAGATAAAAAAATCTGGGAAAAAAACATATTTCAAAATAAGGGAAAAATAAATAGTTTCAAAATTTGTGTCTGTATCATACCTATCTCTGAATATGACCAAGTAATTCTTGTGTAAAGAAGCAATTTAGTTTTAAGGACATTTTTAACAGATGTTTGTAGGAGAAATATTTTTTTTTTATTTAAAGAAGATATTTTGCAGGGGTCTGAGGTTGGTTAAAATGGGATAAGTTATTTTTTTAACAGTGTAGTTGTGATATTTAACTCCATGGCCTATGTACTGACCTCAAAAAAGAGAAGTTAATTTGTTTGGAAATATCTGTCCCCAGCTGTTCTGCACACTACTGGTTTTGCTTTCTTGGCTCTTTAAGATACTGGTTGAGTAATTCTGTTTGTTCAGCGTTCAGAAATTTTGTTCATTTGAATTTCCATGCAATAGATACACTGCATGAGGATAAACAGTAGCTTGTTTGTGACTTGGGTGGATTTTTTGGTTGGATTTTTTTTTTTTGTGGTCTTGGGATATTTTAACTCTTCTTACCTGTTAAACAGTGAAGGATAATTTATCTCTGTCAGCCTCTCCTATAAACTAAAAGCACAGGCAATAAATTCTGGGACTTGGACTATGCAGGCCACTAAACTGAGCATACCTATCTGCACACCTGCTGATCTCTACTGGATGTTTGGGTTTTTTTTTACTGGACATATAAAGCTATGTTGCATACCAAATATATGACCTAGCAGTCAAAATGGGAAGTGACAAATGTTTTCAAAACAGATCTGTTAAAAACTTCATTTTGAATGTTTGCATGGGTACAGTGTCTGTAATTGTTGTCAGTAGTCCCTGCTTTTAGTTTTGAGAGGGAAGATTAAATGCTCGAGAGACACCCTGCACTGCGTCATGGTTAAAGCAACACTTTTTGTTAGCAGTGAAACTTTGTTTTTTTTGTTTCTTTGGCCTTCTAGCCAACAGATTTTAATCATAGGAAACCTATGTAAAGAATGCATACCCTTATTTATAGTTTACATGACTTCTCCTGACTTGCTTTGTCTTTAGTCTCTTCAGTTCTCCTTAAAGCTTGGCTTAGAATTCTTGACGGGGGAATACGCCTTTAAATATCTGCAAATCTGTAATTCATTTAATAGCTTTTAACTTTCAGTTCTTTCAGAATCAACCTCCTTTACTAGCTAAATGATGAGCTCACTTGGAGGGCTGTCTCTGCCAAAAAGAAAAGTAGCAGCCAACTGTCTCTTCTGGGAAATGAATTAAAAACCAAGTGCAATTTATTATCATGTTCCAGAACTGAGGATATTGACCTTTTCTCTTGTATTCTGTGCGCTGGTTCAGCACTGAGCTAATTTCATAGCAAGGATTATTGGCATTCTATCTAATTGATGGGAGGTTTTGCATATCCATAATTTTAATAAAGATATACTGCCCTCCTAAACAGTAAATACTACATAATTTAGTGAATCATGAGTGGTATTACATTATGCCCTAAGAAATACACACTATCTGTAGACATGAGATACATATGGATGAACTGCTGTTCCAGGGGCCAAATTAAAAAAGCTGTATAATTACAAAACAGGGCCTGTGTTGCCTCAGGGAGCTCAAGTCAATCACTGTTAGTTTTGTATTTTTTATGTTGTTGTTCTACAGGTTCAGTGTTTAGTTTGATACCATAACTTCTTGTAGAGGAATCAGTAGCAGAATACAAACACAGTAACTGGAAGAGAAAACAGTAATTTTGGAAGTTATGTGGGTCTATAAACATTATAAATATACCTATTTCACATATTTATGCAAGAAACCATGTATCTGTGTAGAACCACAGTGTCTAGCCAAGCTAATGAAGCTAAGTAATCACTGCATTTCTTCCTAGGCAATCTTTTCACAGTTCCAACACAGCCGAGAAAAAGCCCTCCCGTCGGATAACATGAGACACGCCCTCGCGGAAAGCTTCAAGGATGAGCAGCGTTTCCAGCTGGGATTCATGGATGATGCAGCAGAATGCTTTGTAAGTGTTTTTATGAGAGTTGAGTAAAATTATGTTTGTTTAGAGGTTTTTGGTAGCTCCAGAGTCATGGGTAGGATTCAAATGACATAATCCTGCTGAGCTTCTTTATGCCAGTTTAGAGCAACAGAGACATGGAGAAAGTGTCAGATAAGCGGTTTGGAGTACTCTTGCACTTGTTCCATACTTTACTCCCTTAACTCTGTAGCTCAGGTAGAGCAGGAGGTTGGTGAGGATGATGAGCTCTAAGTCACTTCTAGAAATATTTTGATGGAGAGAAAGGGCACTTTCTCAGGAGAAGCACCTATGGATTTGAATATATCTATTTGAATATATCTATCTATTCCTTGGAGTGTTGAATCACCAGCTATTGAAACACAGTGTGTTACAACTGGCCAGCTCATTGCCAAATTCTGCTGCAGAAGAGGTTTCCATTTTCTCACCCAAGAGTGAGCAAATACTTGAAGATCTTGCTGTAGTTACTTTCTGCTTCAGTCAAGTGACTTACTGAAAAACACAAGCCACTGCTGCAGCCTGTAAAGGTGACTCCAGATGTCACAGAACTCTGGTAAAGAGGTCCTGATTGTTAGACAATCCTTCCTAAGAGGTCCTGTGTTAGACAATGAAAATGTTCACCATAAAACACCTGCAATATTAACCTTCAGACACAGATTTGAGGGGCAGGAAATATGATTGCTGCTTCAGTTACTTTAAGCTTAGGACATCCTTTGTGAGTATCCCCAAATTAACTCCCACCTGCTAGATGTTTCTTCACCTACATAGGAAAATCCAGTGCAGAACTCCTGAAAGAGGCTTTTTGATGTCTTGCAGTCTTGACAGGGAGACTCTTATTACTGCTCCATCTGTTCAAAATGCATTTGGACTCCTGAACTAATCATCTGTCTGATCTACCTGAATAGATTCACTTCTTCCCATTACCTCTGGTAATTTTGTCAAAAGGGAAAAATGGCCTTGCTGATTCAGAGGACAAACTCATTGCAGCCATAGTATTTTGGAGTCAAGGAGCATAGTTGGAGTACTAAATTGTAATGTTCTTAATGTGTTCTGACTTCATCAGTTCAGTTTACATCGATATTATTTCTTTTTAGGAAAATATCCTTGAGAGGATTCATTTCCACTTAGTGCCAAACAGCGAAACAGATATGTGCACTTCCAAATCCTGTATTTCTCACCAGAAGTTTGCTATGACACTGTATGAGCAGGTCAGACCTTAATTTGATTGGTTTAACAAATACCTTGTTTTCTCTTTCCTGAATAAATAAAAACAAAAGTATTTTTGTTTTTGTAGTGTGTGTGTCGCAGTTGTGGAGCATCATCAGATCCGTTGCCTTTTACGGAATTTGTGCGTTACATTTCCACCACAGCCCTGTGGTAAGAGCTTTTATTCTTGTTACTCTTTTTTCTAGATACACCCTTCTAGTCATATGCAAAGCATGCCCAGAGAAGGGCTTTTAAGTGTTAAAAAATTAATGTGTAATTTTTTGTTGCATGTTTTTAAGCTACTGTTAAAAAGCAGCATTTGGATTTCAAAAGCAAGATGTAGGCAAGGTTTGACAAAAAAATTTGTATTGCTACTGTTTTACCACTGTGTTTTCTTTTTAGTCATAAAATACAGTTAATTGAGATCTGTTACTCTTTAGAAGGGAGATCCATAGTTATGTAATTTATTTTTGCAGTAATGAAGTAGAAAAAATGATGGAGAGGCATGAACGTCTCAAGCCAGAAATGTTTGCAGAATTGCTGCAGGCAGCAAATACTGCTGATGACTACAGAAAGTGTCCTGTAAGTAAACAAAAATGTTGCATTACTTTGGGATCCAAGGGAGAACTTTTTAGGATTTTAAATCAGGCTAGAAGTATTCTTATAAAAGAAGGGTTGTGTGTTGTGTTGCTTCTTCAGAGCAGTCAAAGCAAACAAAGCTCTTACACTTATGGTTTAATGGTTACATTAAACATTACATTAAGTTAGAGATTTCTGTTTTAAGGTGGTGATTGGGTATAGAAGTTAGGCTGTTGTCTTCATCAAAATGTTTTTATGGTGAAGAATGTTATACTTCAATTGTTAGAAACCAACACCATGACTAAATTTTGGAATTAAAGACATTGCGGAGTTGTTTTTTGAACTGTTGTTTTTTCTTGTGTAGTGACTCACCTTTGGATTTCCAGTTTTTAAACACTTTCCCTTCCCTTTATGGTTTTTGCTTCCTTTTTTCTAGAGTAATTGTGGTCAAAAAATAAAAATTCGTCGTGTTCTTATGAATTGTCCTGAGATTGTCACCATCGGTTTAGTCTGGGATTCAGAACACTCCGATCTGACAGAAGAGGTTATGCGGAATCTGGCAACACAACTTTATCTTCCAGGGGTATCTGACCTAAAACTTACTCTTTGCTTTTTCTAGAATTTAATTTTACTTTTTATTTTATTTTTTATATCTAATATATAAATATATATTTATATATATATAAAATAAAATATATATATATATAAAATAGAAATATTCATGTGTGTTTTTTACAAGCACAACTTAACTTTACATGAAGTTTTCTATATTTATATAAAGCTTATGCCTACTTTTATGGTTCTTTATAATGTGCTACTTGATGTAGTTTCTGTGAGAGGAAAAGGTCCTGCTGGAAGTGTTTTATCCCTAAGTACAATAATTAATCTAGGAGACTTTCAAGTTGAAAACCTAGGAAAATCATTTTCAGTTTGAAATTTATGAAATTATTCTGGATCATTAATACTTTAGTCTTTCAAATATAAAAAAAAAACAAAACTGAAAAAGTTAAAATGGATGTAGTAGAGCAAAAATCAGTATTTACACTCAGGAAAAATTGTATAATGCAACAGGATATTAAATACCTTTATTTTGGTGTAATGCCAGCAGTAGGTCAGGAAATTGAGGCTGTGTTTTACACGTGTTAATCATTTTTACAGCTGTTTTATAGGGTTACAGATGAAAATGCCAAAAACAGTGAGCTTTTTCTTGTGGGAATGATTTGCTACACGAGCCGACATTACTGTGCCTTTGCCTTTCACACCAAGAGCTGCAAATGGGTGCTGTTTGATGATGCTAATGTGAAAGAGGTAAATATTGGCTTTACTCCTACCAAAATTTGGGATCTTTTCTTTTCTGGAGAGGGTTCTTCTGACACCAGTGTTGAAGAAAGTCAAACAACTATTTATTATTTTAACAAATATTTGGTGTAAGTAATTTTTTTAAATGGCTAGAATTGATTTCACTGCTTCGTGGTTGTGCCTTACAAATGCTTAATGTTTCAGAATGTTTGTGCACTTGTCTGTTGTTGAACTTTTACTTCTTTTAATGAAAAAGGGGATACTGGCAGCTGTATCCATAAGGATGATCTGATTTTTTAGCCCATATAATACTCATTCTGTCTTTGTTACAATTTATGTGAACCACAGTGCTAAAGTGTTGTATCTTCATGTACATTTGGAATTAGGCTCTTGCTTAATGAATTACTCTTTCCATTTTTGGGTTCAGCACTGTTGAAGAAGTTTTGGGGTTTTGTTTTGCTGGTTTTTTTTCTTAGATTGGAACAAAATGGAAAGATGTGGTGTCCCGGTGCATTCGGTGTCACTTCCAGCCATTGCTGCTATTTTATGCTAACCCAGATGGCACAGCTGTGTCTCCAGAAGATGCACCAAAGCAGATTATTCACTGGTCTCAGTGCAAGGCAGCAGGAGGAAATGGGGAAGACCCGGGTAATTAGATATATCTTATTTTTTTTTAATAACAATATCAGCTCTATTTCTGAAATGGGGATTATAAAGGAGAAAAAATGGATTGGCCTCTTTTTCTGAAATACTTTTGTTAATCATTATCCAATGAGTCTCAAAAGAAAAGAGATTAGTGTGTATACTCATTGTACCTGTTAATAAGGGGATACAAATTGAGACTAATGGGTAATGGGAAAAAGTATCCAATCTTTTGGTTCTGTAATTTGTACAGAATTGTACAGAAGTTGTACAGAAACAGCCTGCTGTCTCAGGCTGGCTTTTTAAATTTAATGGTAAGCATAACTTACAAGGAACTTAAATAAAAAGCAAATTGAATTTGACATGCTATTCTTCACATCATGTGTAGCAGCAGAACATAGATTACTTCAGGGAGCAAAGAATTGAGTACCCCGTTTCACTGCAGGCTACAACTCTAAATATGGCAGAATATAAAATATTACAGAACCTTATTGCCTAATCTATTGGAATGCAGTGTGGGTTTTGGTGATGTTTCTCTTCTGGTTTTTGAATCCACAATTAAAAAGCTTGCACTTTTTTTTTTTTTTTTAATTAATTTAGATATCAGAAATTTAAATTTTGAAGCTTTCTATTTCTGAAGGTAAATATGTTGTTTTACAGGATTTGAAAAGCATTCTGCTGCTAAATCAGACCATGTGAAAGAGAATGGAATTGTAGATTCCACTAATCAAAGGAGTAACAAAAAACTTCAGCCAGATAATCCAGCATTCAGTAGAAGCCATATTCAAGCAAGTGGTGGCAGAGGTCCAGGTATGTATTTCCTACTTGCACCCCCAAAAAAACAGACCAGATATGTCTTATTATGAAATATTTCAGTTGGTAGCGTTTCAGGTGGGTTCTAACCTCAGGACTAGAATTATTTCTAAGGGAAGAATTCCATCATTGACTCAGTTGTTATTCAAAGATTTATTTGATGTTTAAGTAATATCTGAGTATCTGCCATGAAATGTTAACTTTTGCAGAGGGAGCTGTAAATGCAGAATATTTATTACTCTTGTTATTCTTTAACTAAAGTGGCTCTTGAGGCCTTGTTCCATTTCTCAAACACTATCAAGCTTTCTGGTGATGTTGCTGATTAAGAGGCACATTAGTGACTTAGGGCTGAGGTGTGGCTCTGTGGCTAACTGGCAACTTGAGGAACATTTTTCCCCAGCAATCCTGTGATATCACCATTATTTGTAGTCCTGCATGTTAATGGACTTGATCTTACAGTTGGAAAGAAATCTCAAGTTGTTAATCTGTGTTAAATAATTCATTAGTCAGTTTAAATAGTCCTTATAGTAAAAACTAAATCTTACTGTTCATAAGTATGTTTGTGTGTTCTGGTGATGAATGACTTTGGAGTAATGATGTTTGACAAGAAGCATTTTTTTCAGCCAAGTTGGGATACGGCGAACACAAGGACAGGCTGAAGGACTTATCCAGAGAGTGTGCCCAGAAAGCTGCTGACATGAAAAGCTTCACATCTTTACGGAAAGACGCAGACAGAGGACCAAGGAAAGAGTCTGGGAGACAAAGAGGTACGTTTTAAAAATATAACCAGAGAACCAATGGATTAAATAACTTTTTGCATCAGTGCTGCTTGTGCAGATCTTTTTCTCCTTTTAAGAGACCACACTGTAAGATTAGGCTTTCCCAGTTTTCAGTATTCTGAAATCCATGCTGGATTTGTAGAGATACTGTAAGAACTGTTAAACAGTATCAGTTGAATGACTGCTTCCACCCTGGAAGTGTTCAAGGCCAGGTTGGATGGGGCTCTGAGCAATCTGGGCTGGTGGAAGGTGTCCCTGCCCGTGGCAGGGCAGCTGAAACTTTGATGATCGTTCAAGTCCATTCCAACACAAATAATTCTATGAAATATTAACGAGAACTGTAATGGAACTTTTTTTTTCCCTTTTTGTTCTTGTAAGACTTGACTGGGGAAGACCGTTCCAGTGCTAAGTCAGGGTCTCCTCCAGTTGGAAACGGACTGAGGCACTGCGCGGATCAGCGGATCTACGGCAGCCAGGGAAGGGGCCCCTACAAGCACGACAACCAAGCATCTCACCAGGCAAAGCTTTCTGCACATGTGCTTGGATCAAACAAAACAGAACCTTTTCCTGCTGGGGAGAAACCAGTGACAAGGACACGGACCGATGGCGTCACTGGCTATGACACGGACACCAGTCAAGACTCCAGGGACAAAGGAAGTATCAGGAGCAGGAGTAAAGGCTGGAAACCAATGCGAGAGACATTGAATGTAGACAGCATTTTCAGTGAGACTGAGAAAAAACAGCACAGCCCAAAGCACAAAGCAAACCTGAGCAGTAAATCTAAGCATGAAAAAGAGCGGAGCTTTAACCACTGGCCAAAGGAGAACCAAATACAGAAGGGTTTAATGACTATATATGAAGATGAGACAAAACAGGATACAGGAAGTCGAAGTTCACTGGATTCTGAGGGAAAAGGGAATGCTGAAAAAAGCAAAGGATTTACAGAGAGAAAAATCCATGGTGATAACTGGCAAATTCAGAGGACAGAATCTGGGTATGAAAGCAGTGACCATATCAGCAACGGATCTGCAAATCCAGACTCCCCTGTTATTGAAGGAATCAATACAACAGATGCCAAGAATGTGAAGGAAAGTTCTTCCTGCAGGTAATGCTAGTGCTCTTAGAGCTTGCATAGGTTGTTTTTATGGAAAAATAACCTGTTCTAACCTTTATGTGTTCTTCAAAACCAACACCACCCAGGAAAACATGCTTTGAAACTTACTTGAAGTCAGGTATGTGGAAAGCTAAAGTGTAACTTGAAATAAGGGTGTGGGCAATTAAATGTTCAATTTACCTTCACTCTGGTTCTCTTTGGGAGGCACTGAGCCAGTTATCCAGGCACTGAGCCAGACCTGCTGAGCCCTGCTGAGGGGCAGGGTGTGTTCATTTGTAGTAATTGATACACTTCTTTACTTAGAAGTTTTTTAGACTGTGTGTAAGTTTCCATCTGTAATGGAATAATACAATGTCCATATTAATCACAGCTGTAAAATTGGTACAGGCCCTCACAAGGAGATGGGAATGGAAGCTGGTGAATCTTGGATGCTGTTAGCAATCACGATGCAGAAATTCAGTTTCCTAGATATCTCAGATACATACTGATCACTTGGTAATTGATTGACCTGTCTGAAATAAATCTTTGCTGAAAAGTGTAAAATTACTAAAACTAGTTGGACTTGATGATCTGAAGAGGTCCATTCCAACTTAAATTTATGTGATGCTGAGAAACAGGAAGTTATAATCCTTCCACATGCGGTTTTCAGTCTTGTCTATCTCAAACTGTTTGTGGAACGCAGATCCTTCTAAAACCCATTCATTCTTCTTTCAGGTCTTGTTTGTATCCATAAAATGGAAGAGCACAGCTGGGAACCCAAGCCTAGTCTCTTTGACAGATCTAATTTGCTAGATCCAAGCAAATTTTCAGACATATATTTTCATGGCAACTTATTTCACAGGAAAAAACAACGGCAAATACCAGGATACGAAAAGGCCTTGACCTTTCTGCCCTTTGTCCCACTCTTTCATCCACCAAACTGTACAAAATCCCAGTATGCAAAAACCCAATGGGCTTTTATTGGTTAATGACATAATCACATATAAAGCTACTCCAACTCCTGGCTGTATTTTCAGTGTTTGATGGTTGCCTCATACAGTGATTTTGCGCAGTTGAAACTGTCTCGTTTTTAAGTATACCCAAGAGGCAATGGGGCACTCAAATGTGTCATTTTGTAAGGGAGAATATGATAAATTTCAAACAGTGTAGTTCATTAAGAAGCTGCTTACACTGTTGTTTAAACATTTGTCAAATAAACAAATTTTATCAAAATACAGCTGACTTCCTGGGACTTGCTTTAGAAGTGCTTTAAATGACTGGTAATTTCAGTTGGCTTGCAATACCTACTAGTTCCCTGCTGACCTTTCAGACTCTGTCTCATAAATCCCCAAAAATACAAATTAATTACTTGAAAGTTCTTTCAGAAAGTGGAAAAAATTACTGTTTTGTTTTTAACTCCATTCTTCATGTTTCTTTCAGTATTTTTCTTGTTTTCCTGTCCTTTCAATAACAGGGTTAGTTTGCTTTTTTTAATTTAACCTCTGCCTCCGTGTGTCTTATTCCCTGCCTTACTCTTGTAGAAGGTAGAAATTGGCAGAGTGTTTGTCAGCTCCCTGTCTGGATTAGTAGTGCATGTTTTCTGCTTGTCTAAACCAGCAATATTTAGTAAACCCTCTGATATTTTTTTTCCTCTCCTTTTTGGGTTGTGATCTACAATCAAAAGCTGTGATCTTCCAGTTTTATTCCAGTTTGAGGGGAAAAAATGAAATGAAAATCCCTATGAATGAGATACCAAGGGGCAGTCACAACTTTGAATAATATTTTTTATCAGAACAAAGAATTAATGAATAGCATATTATCAAATTAGGAAAATGAACAAGATGGAATGTTGATTAACAGTTTACACTTACTTAAGATATTGATAACTACAAAAAAATTGGATTAGCTGTCCAGTGGTGTCTGTCAACAGTTTCATTGCTGTAATCACATATATGCTTTTTTTACAGTGAACAGAACTTGCCAACCAAAAAAGCTGACAGTGTGGTACATTCAGTACCCCAGCAGAACAGAAACTTCCATGGTAAGAACCCATATAAAAATAAAGTTTTTAAAAACTATAGTAGGCATACCAAAATTTCTCTTCCCCCGCTCCCAGCCCCAAAACCCAAAAAACCCTAGCAGAGATGACATGGTAGTTTGGTTCATTCCCTGTGGTTTTCCCACAACCTTTTGTAAGAGATTGCTTGGTGAAGAGTAAGCAAGACTCTTTTTTGGTTTTGTTTTGTTTTTAATGTCTGGGTGGACTGTGGCACCATTTGTTTTCCTCCTAGATATGAAGCAGTATCAGGAAGAAACACTTGTAATAAGGAAGTCTCCTTCCTTTTACATACTAATATGTCTGCTGGGGTTTTATAAAGTTGATAAATGCCTTGGCATATAAATATTACAGGTCAGCCTGAGGCCAGCCAAAATCATTATCTGCTGTTGCTGAAACAATGGGAGGGTGCTTGTACAAAGAGGGGCAATAAATATTAGGCCACTTCCTCGGGAAACATTTGATTTTTATAGATATCATACTTCTTTTCAAATAACATATAGTAGAGTTTCTCCTAGGACTTAAAGTGGAGGTGGGGGTGTTGCCATAGTACTTCTACCTTTTCTGTCCTTATTCTAATTAATTTTTTGGTGCAGAAAGAGAAATAATTTGGTGTTTGCTTATTTAGATAACACAAAACAAACAAAACAAACCAAACAAAAAACTCAACCAAACTAAAAAAAAAACCCACAAAAATGAGTAGCATAGAATGCAATGATCTAGTTTTGCATGGGATTTATTCTGCTTTAGTTACACTCTCTGGAGAGCACTTAAGAATACTTAAAGCTTTCAACACGCATCCTACATTTTCTTTAAAAAAGTTTAGTGACTCCATGTGATCCTTGAAGGTATCATAAAGAAATTGATGATAGGATCCCACCTATTCAGCTATTCTAATTCAGTAACTCATTATTTTAAATAGCTTCTTATGAAAAATTAATGTATTTAGCTCCATTTGGAAAATAATACGTTCAATGGAAGTGATCAGTGAACCAAAAAGAGATCTGAAGAATTTGGTAATTTGACATGTGCATGGGGATAAAGATTTATTTGGACTCGGTTTTTTGGATTGCCAAAAGGTGTCAGGACAGCTTTAGCCAAGGACAACAGCAGTCATTTGTAGGTATCAGTTGTATTACCTTTTCTGAATTATTTGTATTATTCCACCTCTGAATTAGTTGTATTATTCCATCTCTGAATATTAAGAATGAGACATGGATTGGTAGGTAAATACCAGACAGACTCCCAGAAAATAGGACTTTAAAAAACAAATGCTCAGTCCTTTCTGAGAGAGGAATGGAATGTAAGAAATCTTTGTTAGGCTCTCATGGCAACTCCAAAAAAATATGTCTGAGTGGCTTTTTCTGTGTGGAAAAACTTCTTATGGAAATAATGTTGGGCTTCTAATTATGCTCACCGTTTGTATAACTGTACTTTACTAGCTCCTTGTTTTTTTACTGGAGCTGAATGAGGCTACTGTTGAGCACTTGAAGAATTCTGCTCCTGACTTACAAAAATAAACTTATTGTCAGAATATTATAAAGATAGAAACACTGAATCACGAAGTGAATTGGGAGAGCAAATGGTTGCTCCTTACACAGGCAGTAAGCAGTGGAATACTGTAGTACCTAAGCAAAGGTCCCACAAGGCAAATCCTTAAATTGTGTGGTCAGATTTTGGCAGGAAAATGTAAACATTGAGCAAGCAGATGTAGTATCCATGATTTATGTTAATCACTTTGTGTTTATGAAGTCTGAACTTGATGAGCTGAGGAGGCAAAATTTTTTTGAGTATAAAGAACTTGAAATATGAGCAGTGTGAGGCCAGAATTTCCAACCTTGTGTTCAGCAAGTTAAAGCAAGATTGATAATTTTGATGCTTTTCCCATTGTTTTTTAATTTTTTTCCCACTGTTCAGTTCAATAGCATGAGACAACTCAAACTGAAATCTAGAATAATTCTCAAGTCCTGCTTAGTGTGTGAAGAAGAATCCAAATTGCCTTTGCTTACGTTTCACTTCTGAAAACCCCACAAACCAATCATAACTCTGAAAAAGACTGGTCATATGCTTAGGAAAACTGTACATTTATAGTAATAATTTAAAACATGCAACTCCTCTTAAGGTAATCCAGTTCTTACCCTTATGGTGCACTCAATGTGCATAAATGTCAACTTTAAAGAAATGAGTAGAGAATTAAAGCTTGTAGCTACTTAGTTTATTTACCATGGAAGAGAAACAAATAAATGCTTTACTGAAGTGTCTTTAAGTGATAAAATAAAGATGCTTAGGAAAGGTTTTGCTACTGAATGTTGCTCCAAAAGTAAAGTTTTTAGTATATAAGGATGTCTTTTTTTTTTTTTAGAAGATTTGTCACTGTATTTCAACACTAATACTCCATTTTGAACAAGTTATAACATGCTTACTTCCTTGACTCAGGTTGTTGTTATTCCACATTTCCAAAACTTCCAATAAATTTGCCTGTAATTTCAACTGAATACAGAAAATAACAGAGAGGAATTTGCCACAATATTTATTACAATAAGTATTACGCTTTGTTGTTGGGGTTTTTTATTGACAACTTAGGGAATATTAAAAAAAAAATAAAAATCTAGGAACCATGCAGCTGAAACCCATAAAGCACAAGTTGAATATAATGTGGAGTTGAGTTTTTGCTAGAAGTTTTGTAGGAGTTTAGTATTTATTTTCATTTGGGATTTTTTTCACCACAGAAGCTGGGCAGATTTTGGCACGATGGAGATATTAGACAAGACCTTTCCCGTCCTACCTGTGGGCTTTGTCCTACCTGTAGAATGGACTTTAATCTCTTGAAAATCTGGATTGACTACCCAGATGTGCAAATAGATGTCTGTACATCTTAAAAGCAGACTGGTTTATTACCTTTCATTTATTGCTCAGCTCTTAATGACCCATTGATAAGGATGTGGGGCTTGCGTGTCCCGTATTTAGGTTTGCAGAGAACTTAGAGCCAAAATTCCCAATCGAGCCAGCTTCTGGTTTTAACCGTGCATGGCTGTCCTGTCAGCAGAAGGGAAAATAACACATCTATTTTTAAGTTGGCTGGAATTCCACAGGCACAAAGCACCTGGCACTGCTGGATGTGCCCGAAGGAGCCGCTCGCTGGGCTCTGCTGCCGTCTCCCGGCTGCCTGCTGCACTGCCCTGGGAGCCTCCTCCAGGAGTTGGGCTTGCAGTGAAAATCATCACAGCCTGCAGCAGAATGAAATGTTTCTGTGTGAAATGTTACCTCGGTGTCAGGTATCTCACTGTTAGGCAGTTCTGTGGCACACAGATGGTTTTGAACTCTCAGGTTAATTATTTGTCCCTTGCATGGGCTCGTTCAGTAAGGATATTTTCCCATTAATATTATTGCTAAAGTTGTGGTATTGTGTATCATGACATTTTTTATTATTGTTTTTTTTTTATCTCAAGACTTGAGGAAAGCCTGGAGGATATGGGGGCTTTGTCCCTTGTGCTGTGTGCTGCTTTAGCCTCTACTACCTGTGATCTTGGTCAAAGAATTCATGTCTCCTATAGACAGGGCAGATACTGACCCTCAAAATGGGTATCACCAAACAGCAACACCCAAAGTTTCCAGTTTAGTTCTGCTCTGCTCTTGGGGTTTTGGCTCATATGTTCATGAGTCTGAAGGTCCAAGATTTTAAATATTTAAACTTAGGGGGAAATAACAAATGAAATTAGGTGTAGCAGTTATAAGTCTAGTCTGTACATAGACAAAATAAGTCCTTATATTAATATTATTATGAATAATAATAATAAGTAGCCGTTCTTGTGAGTGGCTTCAGAGCAGGTGACTGATATTAATGGGCTAATCATGGCATTAGCAAGACTATCTCTAAACAAATAGACTGCTGCTTGTCACTTTCCAAGTGTTTTATTCTGTATGGTGTTGACACAAATACTTCAATGCTTCCTTTATTTCCTGCTCACTCAGCTGCCTCGCTCAGAACTTGTGTATTTTCAGGGAATGATTCTTTGCCTGGGAATAAAAATAACTTCTGAAGTGGGAGTGCAGTGGTGCTGGCCCAGGCACTCAGTGCAGTGTGTTTGGGGCACGTGGGTGACAGTGTTCTTTGTCTACCCAGTGTCTCTGTAAGCTTCACAGTCTGCTCTAGGGTTTGAGTTGTTAAAACCTACAAACACCAGAATAACCTAAACCATTCCCAATCTCTGCAGTATTCATTCTATTTAATCATTGTAACACAAATTGAATTTTTAGAAGTCATAGTTTTTATTTTGTAATTTAAATGAAGTTGGATGTTTGAATAAACATCCTTTTAAGAAAAGCTTCCTTTGAAAATGTGCTTTTAGCCAGATTAAATATTAAGGTGGTCTTGAAAATATGTCTATAGGACTTCAAAATTGTGATAATTACCTATTTTCTGGTAACAAGAAAACACAGTTTCCTCCAGATTCTAAAATCTGACCTTCCGTGACAGATTATCTTCAAAATGGTTATTTTGACTCATCTCAAATCTTGAAAGAGATTGTCCTGTTGCGTTTTATTTGTTTCTGTAATGTCTGAGGAATTCCAAAGAAGGTATTGGGTTGTATATCTATTGATTTTGAAATATTTTCTTTTCTAGCCCCAGATTTGAGAAAAGATCAGATCAGTTCTGAAGTTAACTACAGACCTCATCCTCATGTTGGTTTTCCAACAGAACTACATTTGCAGGTGCCCAGTCCTCCAGTAAAGAGGTAACCAAGACTGGCATATTCCTCTGTAATAGTTTAAGAAATACTGATTTCTGTTATGTTAAAATGAGTGATATTAAGCACTGATGAGTTAAGGCACTCAATATTTTTGACAGGCAATTCCTTTTGAATTTGGCATGATTGATGGGTCGAAATTCTCTCTGTCTTTAATTTTGATGCTAGCAATGTCACCAAATAGATTAGATGTTTTGAAACCATCTTACCAGAAACAGAGGGATTTAACATTTTGGACTGTTAACTGTTTGGAATTATATTCAACATGCAGTACTAACCAATCTGTGATCAGTGTAGTCATCCCATAAAGCTTTGAAAAGCTTGTCTGGAAGGGGGGAAAAAGTTAATTTGTGTTCAGAAGGTACTGCTGTATCTCACTGTTTCTAATATGAACTCTAAGTGCTCAGTATCTCCTAAAAACTGAGAATCTAAATACAAATGTATCAACTTAAAGTAGCATCCAGTATTTGAACAATGGATGTATCGGAGTCACATGGATGTTTAGAAAAAAACAGAGGTCATATTTGAAATAGTCCTGAATGTTGAAGCAATTTATCTTACTTTCTTGGGGCACATTTACATTTCAAATGAAAGAAACTCTGGAGTAATTTAACTCGACCTCCAGGGGCTGTATCCTATTCAACAGATCCTAATTCTCTTGTCAGTTTGAGTATTTCAGCAGTTTTACCAAGGCTGTCTTCAAATAAATAAAACCTCTGTTATCTGAGCCTTTTCATGTTTTTATGGATACTCACATCCTGCGTGGTTTTATCTTTTAGGGCTGAAATACCTGAGACCAACAGGAAATTTTTCCCATCATCAGCTCTCCAGCCAGTTGTCAAAGAGATTGTGAAGTCAGACAGCAGGAGCAAGGCAAACGAGCCGAACTCTTCCGAGCGGCTTCACACGGACAGGTTTGAGAAGCTGAACGCGCCGGTGTATTGTGCGGATGGCATGTCCCACCCCTTCCCAGACAATGCCTGTGGCAGGAAGCCCATCCACAGCGACCTTCCTCCCCCTGCCCAGCCGCAGTCCCATCACACAAGAAGCGTGTCCCATCACACTCTGGGTCCCAAGGTGGGGCTGCTGCCCTGCGCACCTCAGAACCTGCCGGAAAGGCCGGTGGTGCCGCCCGCCCCTCCCGGTGAGCACTCCGGGCACCTGCTCCGGAGGGTGGATCCCCTCTGGGTGCCTGAAGCCGTGTACCAGAACATTCCTCCCCCCTTACCTCCGAAGAAATATGCTCTGAGCACTTTGGCAGGATCAGAGAACAACTCGGTAGCGGATGTAAAATCAACGGAAGCGTTGCAAAATAGCCCATTAAGGCAACCAGGTGCACCTTCAAAATCTGCATCAGAAGCAAGTGCAGTCCCAGCTGAACAAAGGCTTAAAGAGCCCTTTCCAGGGAACGAAGTGTTTGTTCATAAACCGGATTCTCCACCTCGCTTATCAGTTAATGAGTTCTGGACCGTGTCTGAGAACATGCTGAAGAAAGGATCTCGTCACACGGGACCCAGCCCTGGCTACGCGGATGGGAACGACAGCGTGTCCCTAACCACTTACTTCTCAGTAGACAGCTGCATGACTGACACCTACAGGCTGAAGTACCACCAGAGGCCCAAGCTGTATTTCACAGAGAGTGGAAGCTTCCACAAGGAGAAGCATCCTCCAGCAGCAGGAGTAGATCTGAATGCCACATACCCCGCCACTCTGGAGCCCAGGCATCCCACCCCTGAACCGAGGTACAAGGCAAACGCAGAAGGAATACACTGCAGTCGATAGGTTCTTGGAGAAACCTGCACCTGGATCTGACTTTGGCATTTCATGTAGTCTGTAAAGGGGCACAACCTTGATTCTCTGTGTGTCTGTGTGTGTGTGTGTGTGATAACCAGGTACCCAGCTGACTGTACTTGCTTGGAAGTTGTGACTGTTCAAACAAATATGCAAATAGAGGCCAACAGAGGAGAAGAGGTGCTAAACTTGTGGTTCTTTGATTTGTTACTCTAGTTGCCTTAATGCTTACCTCTGTTACTCAGCTTGTCTTCTCTGGTTTGTCTGGATGTTACTAACTCTGTAAGATCTGGTTAGCTGCAGTGTAAGAAGGGTTCCTTCAGACTATGGTCACTGTTCTTTGACTAACAAAAGGGATAAGCATGCTACCACAACTAAGGCAGTACCTGTAGTCACAAGACAGCAGTATTTGTGCTCAGAGGTAGCAGGAGGTGACATGATTTTTTCAACTGATGTCTCTGAGTCTGTGCTTTCACAAACCTTCAAGTGTCTTTAATGCAAGTTTACCCAGAGGATTTATTTTTTATTTGAAAAGCCTTAATAATATTTCTTTAAAAACCATTTTGGTTTGCAAATGTTAAATGAGACTTTCAAAGGGAATTGAAGAAATCTGCAGTAATACTTTCCTATTAATACCCCTGCTCTGTTAGTGTACGTTTTTAAACACATCAAATTTATTCACCCTTTAAGCTGTATACTTTCATTACATTTAACCTCCTAAGTTACAAACCAGTATAACAGAATAGGATGCTAATTTTAAATGCAGAGTTATGCAACTATGAAAGATGGTGTAACATTTTAGAAGTATTTCCTACTTACATTCAGTTCTGACTTACTCTACTATTGCATGCAAAGTCAATGCTGCTATTTATTGAACTCCCCTTTTTTTTCCAGCTTGACATTTTTGTTCATGGGGATCACACATTTGATTCTTTTTTTAATTTATTTTTTTTACTAACATGTTTTCCCATTTGGAACAGTCCTACTCATGGATATGGTCTGCATTAGCAGATCAAGCTTGAATGTGTAGCCAGACTGGTGGCTAAGGGGGCATGGAAAGAAGAGGTTTTTCTTTCTCTTCTCTGTCACCCTGTCTCCTGTTTTGGCAGCTCTGGAATTTACCTTGTCTTTTGTTAACCTGACTTATCTCAGTAACAAGGAGGAAGATTTATTTGGCTTTTATTTGGTTAGTTAAGTCAGTGCACAGAACCATCTAGTGAGTGCTGAAGCAGCATCGGCAAAGCCTGACACAACCCAAAAAGTGAAGGCAAAATTTTTCCATTATTCACATCAGAGTGTTAACTTGGGGTGCTGCTGATTACACCTAAACATCAATGCCTTTTATTATGAAAACAATGCAAGAAGGTTAAATATGCATAATAAACACTCTTACTTGCACTGTTAGTCGGAAAGGCTTTTTTTCATGTTTATAAACTTATGTACATGTGTTTTACTGCTTCAACCAAATGATGGCAATTGTTTAGCACAATTATCTGAGGTAAACATTTAAACTAGTTTTGGCTATTCTGTGGCAAGGTCAGTTTTTGTTTTTTTCTTTTAAATAACATGTACCTTACAGTAGAACTGGAATATTATATGTATGCATAACAAACCAGGTATTTCAGATTAACCTTCTTTCTACCTTCTTGATCAAAATTCATTGTAGCACTTGGGCAAAAAAAAATTCTAGAATTTATAGTGAAACTACTATGCATGTTTCTGTTTGGCTGCTAGTACACAGCAACTTAAACAATGATCCTTTTTGTAAGAAAATAGTTGAATACAGAAGAACACTAAAAATGTAAGAACCTGGGTGATTCCTATTGTAATATTTTTAAGAGAGATTTCAGAACCTGTAAATTAAACTTTTCTAGTTCATCTAGCCATGTTACATAATATACATAGCCAGTTAAGGATAACTGTCCTCTAATATCTGTGTAAAAACAAAGATGATTGGAATTTGTAAATAATGTATAATTTGTAAAATGTTTTGCAAAAAAACAAAAAACGTCTTGTATTTGAAATGACAGTATTTTTATGTATGGATAGCACAGCAACAACTGTGAATGATGTTAGAACACTTATTTTTAAACATGCATAGCAATGTTGATACTTCTGTACCACGAGCAATATGAATGCCTCTTACTGATACCAATGAACTCTGCTCCCAGTAAGCACAACTGGTAAACTCCTCTCTAAAGTCAGCAACTTAGTAACTTAAAGCAGCAACTTCGGTGTACTTGAGTCTCCTGCTTAGCTCGGAACAATCTTACCAGCTTCCAGCTTCCTCTGTGACCCAGTTTACCAGGTATTTCATGATTAAATAGACAGCTAATCAAGGCACCTTCGTTTTTATATTTGACTCTGCACTCCATGTATGTATGTACGTAATATTTGCTAACTAATATGTGATAACTCGTTTTAACTTACCTAGGGTGCCTATTTATTTTTTTATAAATGTCCCCTTCCAGCTTTAGATTTGTATGAGAGACTAGACAATTTTTGTAACAGTAAAGATATTAACAAGTCTTGTAATTAATATATTTTTCAGTCTTTAGAATTATTTACTTGCAAAGTTCTACTTGTTCAAAATATCAAGATAAAAATTTAAAATCCTCGTTGTCTGTTCTTTTTGTTTTCCACGTTTTAAAAAAAAAAAAAGGTTGACTTTCCAGAACTACATTTTTAAAGTGACAGATAATGCTGCTCCTGTAATGGTTGAAAGTTTTTGTGGAGATGGTGTTTTGGTTATCTGAACAGTAAAATTCATCTTCTGAAATATTTGTTCACAAAGCTATTAAGTAGATTAAACTTTTTAAATAGCTATGAAATGCATAAAGCCATTTTTATACCATAATCCCATAGACTTGGTGACAAGTGATTGACAGATCCATGAGCTACCTTACTCTCCTGACTAGGGATAAACAAAATTTGCCAGGGTCTGTGTACCTGGGAGCTCCATGTGCCTATGGAAGAGCTGGAGCCCAGTGCAGCACAAGCCTGCACTTTGTTTGCTCTTTTCTGAGATAAACAAAACATTTAACCTCAGATATGGCTGAAGGAGAAAACTAAATTAGTGGAAGATACCTCGAAACTCAACTTTTTAAGCCTTAACAGGCTTTAAATCTCACCTGTCTTCCTTATCAAAAAAGAAATGGAGCAACATTCCAGTCCTTTCCTGACAGGTTGCTCCCTGGGGATTTCACTTGTGATATCATTCCAGAGAGTGGGGGGGTTAAAAAATCATAGTGACTGTATTTGTCTCTTTAATGGCCTCATTTGAAAAACTGGAACCCCCATTCTGGTGTTTGTGAGAATGCAATCACAGTTCTGGGTTCCTGTGCACCTTGAGTCAAGATATCTGATCTTACAGGTACCAGCAGCCAAGATGATAAATGCCAGCAGGGCACAGCATCTCTGTTCTTACAGCACAGCTCTGACACAGGGAACAAACCACTGCCAATAGCAAAACTGTCCTAACAATCAGATAAAAATAAAAGGAAAGAGCATCTGTCTATTTTTGCATCCCAAATCCTATTTAACCTCATCCTGGCCCATTTTTTGTGTGGGAAGATACTGAACCTCTCTGTACTTCCAAGTCTCTGCCATCTAGTTATTTCGTAATATGTACTCCTGGAAAAAAAAAACCAAACAACCAAGCATGGATTGAATTTCTCAAGATTACAAAACTAGTATGCCCAAAGGAAAAATTCTAAAGAAAGCTGAACTCCTTCATCCATAGCTTGAAAACAGTCTTCTGCCATACCTGCCCTAGTAAAAAGCTCAGCTTCTATTTGTTTGTCCAAAGACTGCAACAGACTCCTGCCTTTAACACAGGCTCGAAAGTCTCTAGTGAGACAGAGGAAATTGATGTTGAAAGCTTTTAATTATCTGTCTGCTTAGAGCCATCCATGGCCAGTGAGGAGGAGGGAATCTTTATGTGTCATCTGCCAGTGACTCAGGGCTGCTTGTCAGCTCCTCCTTCACAGTTTCTAGCAAGGAAGTCAGAACCTGATTTATCTTAATCGGTAATTGAGGACAGGACACTGCTGCTGGGTTAAACACTGACATGTTTATATACATATATATTTATATTTATAGATACCAAGCCTGAGAGGGCTCAGTAACTGCTGAAGGTAAAGAAAGAAAAAACAGAGGACAGTACAATAGAAAACCAACCAGCATCAACCCATCAGGATTAACTTTTTGGAAGTAGAATGGCTGGCTAAGCTCCATCTGTTGAGGGAACAGGTCTGAGTTATAACTCCAGTGTACACAAGAGCTGGGTTTTATTCTCAGCCACTCTGCAGGGTGTCCTTGCAGTGGATTTTATTCTAACAGTGAACACTTCCATTCCTGCACAGCAAACTTTAGGGACTGATCACAAAAACACCGTCAGTCTGTCACACATGACCCTTAAGGCACAGTTTAGGACACAGGAGCAGGATACAGGTAAAACCTGAACAGCAGCACTTGTGACACACGGAGATCTATTGCCACACAGTATAAAAATGTGCCTCCTCCATGGAGGCTCAAGAGGAGTGGTGTTCCCAGCTGCTCGTCCCGCACAAATGGTCCTTCTCTTCCATCGCCTGCCTTCCTAAGGGGCGAAATGGGTGAGAATTCCCTTGGTGGCAATGGCCCTGCAGGGAACAGAAAAGGTCTGGTTATGTTCCTAGCGCTGCACAGCACTTCGGAAGATACTGACACGTAAATAGCATCCATCACACCTCCTGAACGAAGGGCGCACAATAAATCTCGCATACAAATCAATAAAGCTGGGGATGGTTCGGAATGAGTTTCCCGAGAGGCATTTGTGCTCCCGCGGCCTTCTGAGGCGGGGCTGTGGGAATGCCAAGGCTGCTCCCAGGGGCCCGCTCCTGAAGCGGACCCTTCCCTCCACAGGGCACAGCCCGTCGGGCCTTACCGACCGACGGGCGGACGGACGGACGGACAGACAGACCACGAACGCCGCTCCTCACCTGGGCCGCGCCCTCAGGGCAGCAGGTAGATAAGCAGGAAAAGCGCCAGGTCGAAGAGGATGAAGAGCCACAGGTCCAGCCAGTAGGACTGTCCCGACAGGGATCGTGACAGCACCCGCCCGCCATCCTCCTGCTGCCGCTCCTGCTCCCGCGGCCGCCGCCGCGCCGCCGCCTCCATCTCCTCGGGGCCAGGNCATCCCCGCCTCAGCCAAAGCCCCTCAATCCCCGCCTCAGGCACCGCCTTGAAGGGCGGGCCCTCGCGACAAACACGCTGGA